GTATGTGAGCTATATCTCCAGTTCTTTTTTGTTTCATTTAGTCTTCAGGCAAGGTGTTGCTTTACTCTCAAGCTTCAGATATCAATCCCCCAACTCGTGCCGCTCATGGAGCTGGGATGAGAGGCCCAGGGCACCACGGCCAACTTTTAGCGTTGAAATAGGGTCTCACTGATTTTTTTTCTCCAACCTGGCCTTGACACATAATCTTCTCATCTTTAACTTCCCTAGTAGCTGGGATTAAAAGTGGGAGCTAATATACTCAACTATGCAAACTTTTAAATCCTCAAATATGTTTTCACTTTTGTTGTTTTCAATACTTAATGTTCAAATAGGTCTTCGATACACTAGCTCATCCTGGAAAGCCTACTTGATGGGCTATGCCATGCTTATAAGGCTTCCAACAACAGCATAAGAGAAGTCACTGGGCGTGAGATTTAGGAGAGGGAAGAAGAGGCACACTCCACTGAATGGGTACCACCGCCTCCCTCATCCCCGCACCTTGGAATGCTTCTAATTCCAAATAGACACTGATGCAGGAGACTCTGAGGCCCATGAGTGGATCCCTCAATTTCAAACCCCACAGGCTCCCAGGACAGCCTACAATGGAGCAGGCACCCCAGCCAGCACTGGGCCAAGGTCTAATGGCTGTGCTCTTGCACCACCTGGTGGCTGTTTAATTTCAGGTCAGTGTTATCTGTCAATGAAGCCAGACGGTACCAAGCTAGATCTCCTTAGAACTAGGTCTGCAGCATTTCAAATGAGCATGTGATCAGTTGAAGCATGGAGGAGGCAGCCAATCCTGAGATCAAGCTCCCAAGACAAGAAAGCTCTCACTGCATGTGCAAGGCGCTCCCCAGCATGAACCACACAGCAGCCTCTGCATGTCTGAAACCCTCTACCCAGTCCCCCAAGGGAACCTTGGGCTTAATAACTGACTTCAAATGCTACACTTGATGGTCCCATGCAGACATTTCCTACAGATCACTCAAGGGTCTGGAAGTCTAGGTAGCTAAAATTTATGCATTTGGGGGATTACAAACATTTTCTTTGTAGAGGAATTTGCAAGTACAGGAATCCGTGAGTCAGGAGGACTGACTGCATATCTCAAACCCTTCTGAATTTAACATTCTCCATTATCTTTCCCTCCCTCCCACAGCCAAATCTATTTGTTTATCTCCTTTGATGAACTGCCCCTGCCTTGGGGAGAGATGCTCACTTCCACTTTGAGCAAATCCAAAAGCTACCTGTGGGTTTTCTAATGTGTGCTCCCAGAGAAGAAGTGGAAAGGAGCATGAGCTAAGTGCTCCTGAGAGTGAGGAGGCCCATCGGCTAACTACTCCCCGAAATGAGAAGGAACATTGACTAGGTGCTCCTCAGAGTGAGAAAGACCATCGGCTAAGTACTCCTTGGAACGAGAAGGATCATGGACTAGGTGCTCCCTGGGTTGAGAAGGAACATGAGCTAGGTGCTCTCTGGAGTTGGACCATCAGCTAAGTATCCCCTGGAGTGAAGAGGACCACTGGCCAAGTGCTCCCTGGAGTGAGGACCATCAGCCAAGTACTCCCTAGGCCCAGGCCCTATGCTGGCCACTAGTCCACAATCTCACAAGGTCTCCAATGATCCTAAACTCACAAAGTTGTTGCCAGTTTCACAGCTGAAGAAAGCGAAGGGCACACAGGTTGAGGACAGACCACTGGCCCATAGGCCAGAAGGGAGACAGCTAAAATTTCAATCTAGATCCATTGGACTCCCAAGCCTGCTTGGAGGGAAAACAACATCATGCAAATCTCAAAAGGAATCACTAATCTCCAACCAGGACAGTGAGTGGAAATAGGCAAGGTTATCTTGCTTGGTGAACAGAGAATCAGGCAGAACTCTGTGTACAATTCCAGGGTGCCCCCGCCTGTCCTGAGCCAGCTGACAGTGTTTCTGTCACATGGCCTGTAGGTGGCAGAGTGAGCACATGAGTTTGCTCCTAGTACTTAAGAAGGTTTGCCTGGCTGGGTGTGTAAAAGTGAAAGCAGCTTTCTAGAGTTATTGGCTTGCTGCCCTATAAATCATTAATCAACAGTCCTTCCAGTTTCTCAACTGTCTGATGCAAGATCTTGGCCTTGGGGAAGTTCTAAAATTAAAAGCTAAAAGAACATCATGAATATCTAAACTAAAAATCTAAACTGAAAGACTATCATATATAGTAATAATGATTTTAAAAAGAAAACCCTATGTCTCCTGTTGGTTATTGTCCGTTTGAGTTCTACTTTTTTTCCAAAATAACTTTACAAGTTGTTGCAGGAAAGTGTGTGTTGGGGGGGAAGGGGAGAATTAGTCCTACAAATTCTACCCCTCCCATCTCCACCCCCTGGAAGTACTGGTTGTAAACTCAGAGCCTCATGTTTGCTTGCTAGGGAGGCTAGCTACCACTTAGGCCATGCCCCCTGCTGCCTGAGCCACACCATTACCACTTGAGCCACACCCACAACATTAGAGGTTCAAATTATTCTACAGGCCAGAAAACCAGACCAAGTCGATGTCCAATGAAATGCTACATCGCTCTTCATTCAGCACTCATGAGACAGGGCACCCTCCTGGCATAGAAAACAGAGACAGAGATGTCCCAACACCCTAAGTAAGAGTCATCTGACATAGACAGAGCCACACTGACTCATGGTAGAAACTGGTGATTTTATACAAGGACCAAGTCTGGAAATAAAAAGAGCTATCTTACCCACTCCCTAGCCCCTTCCCATTTACAAGCCTAGGCCTGTTCGATCTTCACACCCTCCTTTCCCTATGACTCTGCTCTCTGCTGCCAATCACGAAGGACTAGAGCAGAAATACAATCAGCCCTGAAAATGGCAGACATTTTTGGCATAGTTCGTGAGAAATCAAAGCAGTGGCAGAAGGAGGACAGTGGACCTACAGCAGCACAGAGGAACCCAAAGGCCACCCATGCACCAGAAGAGGGCAGCAAAATCACTTTGGAGTGGTTCTGAAATGCACAGGCCTTGATCTCTCTCTGGAAATTTGACTTGAAGAATATGGATTATGCAAACTTCCAGGGAATTTAGACATGCCTTGCTCAGGACACAAAAGTAAACTTAGAAGGCAGGGGAGTGAAGTCCCTTCTTCACCAGGCTAAATGTCTGGGAAAGAGCTCTGTCAGGTGAGCAAGAACAGCTTGGTCATCATCACAAATCTGCACCTGTCCTGTCAGTCATGACCCTATTCACCAGCATTTTTTAACTTCAATTCAACTAAACAGTCAAATGGAACTCCCAGGTCAAAATACAGGATATGATAGAACAAAAATGATGTCAGAGTATCATTGCAGGGCAAGCCAAAAAGCTGAGTATGTCGTCAAAAAAAAAAAAAAATCCCTTATTAGGAAGGACATTGAGACTAACACTACAAACTTAACAACTCTTAACTAAAGAGGTACTAAGGAGAGGATTTTGATATAGTTTGACCATGGAATTACTAGATGCTTATTGGAAGCAACTGAGCCCTATGGAAAGCTTTGAAAATATTTATCATAAAAATGAGTTTTATAAAGTCATCCTAATAATGTGATCAGGGTTATGTGTGCATAAATAATGGGTGCAGTACTGTAATTGCAGATGAGTAGGTGGTTTCAAAACACTGAGTCAGAAAAAATTAAAAAAAAGCTTAAGGACAGCACACAGCCCCAGGACTGCTACAAAAAAAAAAAAAAAAAAAGTTAAGGATTCTATTCAAAGAGAGAAGCAAAAAAATTGAATAAAGCTAAAATTTCAAAAAACTTGATGAAAACCATGAACACACAGATCTAAGCACACAACATGTGTGTGGGTCAGGTTGGGGGCAAAGGAAAAGACACCAAAAGTGATCATAATCAAGCCCCTCAGGGATTCTGAGGGCAGCAGAAAATAGCAACAGGAGAACAGCATATTTCTCATCAAAAGCAAGTGAGAAGACAGTAGGGCAACATTTTCAGGGGAGGGGAGGGAGAGGGGAAGCAGGGATTCAAATTAGAATCTTATGTGCAGAGAAAGTAACTTTCAAGTTTAGTTAACTTTCAAGAGAAAAGATAAAGAAACTCTCAGAAACAAAAGCTGACAGAGTACGTCACGCCATAAGAAATTTAGGGAAAATCAGAACAGTTAGAAATGGAGACAGACATAAATAAAAGAAGACTTCTCAGACATGCCAACTACATGTGTAAGTGCATGGAACTTTTTCTTATGATTTAAGCCTTTTCAAAAGACAGTGGTTTAAAGTAAACTATAGGGCGGAAGTTGTACTTTATATATAAAATTTATACTTCATATATGTATGCATATATAGTTTATGTATATAAAAATAAGATTTACTTTATGTACATATATGTGAAGTAAAAAGTCTGACAAATTATAAAGTACAGAAGTCAAGCAGTAGAGGCACATTCCTGTAAAGTTTTTATAACATGCATAAAGTGGTGTTATTGAGGGGAAAAAAAGAGTCTGTACTGGACACCTTAGGTTCAGATTCACAGACTGAAAAAAACAATCAACAACAAAAACGCCCAAAGGATAACAACCATATTGGTGTCTTTAGCAAGACAAAGCTCTCAGGAAAACATAAATTGTACAAATCTAGTGATGTGTTACATACATTCCAGGAGACTCCGGGTTGGATTCTGATGTGGACTTGACGTGTGTAAGTTATTCAGTTCCACAACAAATCGTAAGACGCATCCAGAACTGTCTCCATCCCTCAGCCCCATCGGAAGGAGCAGGTCTGAGGAAAGCCAATGCGTTCCAGACTGATTATTCTTGGCTACACTTAATCACCACCGAGTAAACAAATGCAGCACTCACTCACACTTGTGCAACTTATTCCATCCCCTGCAGCCAGAAGAAACTGCCACGTGATGCTATTTAACATCTGGAAATGTGGAAGCGATTTTACAGAGCACACAAGGACCACACGCTTGTGGCAGCGGCTGAGGTCACCCGGGGAGTGGAAGGAGAGAACTCACTTACAATGAAGCCAAGTTTCTTGTAATCCCGGGTGTACATGGACTTGCGTTTCTCCACGCTGCCGCTGCTATTATTAGGTTCAGTCTCCGCATCAAAAGCAATTCTTCGAAGTTCAAATATGATGTCTCTTTGAGCCTAGAATGAGGGAGGGAGAGGAATCTGCTGTCATTGCGCAGTGACATCAACTCTCTTTTTCTTCACCCCCAGGGTCCAAATGAATCATGCTTTAGAGTAAAAGAAAACCAGATAAAAGTCATGCCATGTTCTAAAGGAGAGCTGAGCACACTTTGCCCTTTGCCCCTCCCCCGGCTTCTCAAGCTTGGCATCTCTCCAGTGACCCCAGCTGCCATCTCATGTGGAATATTGGTAACCAGTTCCAGGGGCCTGGCCTAGATGAGGTCCTAATTGGGAAGGGAGGAAGTGAGGGGCGTAGGCTGAGGTAGAGTCTGGGAGGGCCCACTGCTACCTACAAAGCAAGAGGCTCACAAGGCCCGTGAGCAGTTCTGCAGTCGCAATGGATCTTTTACTCCACTAATCAAGGACACATCATCAAAACTAACAGGAAACCAAAATAAAAGGAAGATCCCAAAGAAGAACCAACCCCTGTGCCCTTCCTTGTCCATCCATAGTAAATGGATGAGCACATGACAATCACATACAGCAGGAACAGAATTCCATAGTGCCCGTGGCTCAGGCCTGTAATCTTAGCTACTCACGAGGCTGAGATCTGAGGATAGCAGTTCAAAGCTAGCTCAGGTAGGAAAGTCCATGAGACTCTTATCTCCAGTTGACCACCAAAAAAGCCAGAAGTGGAGCTGAGGCTCAATTGATAGGGTGCTAGCCTTGAGCACAAAACGTCAGGAACAGCACACAAAAATTGTGACCACAAGGACAAAGGTACTAGGTGGAGTGAAATAAGGCAGATAATAGGTGACAAGTGTTGCCTAGAATACTTCTGTGTAGCCACACCACAGCAACAGGAAGCGAAATGGAGCAAGCTGGCCAGGGGTTGCAGGATAGCTCAAATGGAGTTATTGTTTAGGGGACCCAGAAATTCAGTTTTGCCTGATGATACCTGGTAATGTTTTCATAACAATGTGAATATACTCAGTGCCAGTGAGCTTCCACTTTAAAATTACTCCCTTATTCACCAAACAAAAAACCACATGCATGTTCAGGGCCTAATGGAGGCCTTTATTTATTGCTAGCACTGGGCTCAAACTCAAATCCCCATGCTCTTACTTTGCTTTTTCACTCAAGGCTTCCATTCTATACTCGAGCTATTCTACTTCCAGGTTTTTGCTAGTTAATAGAAGGTATGAGTCTCACAGATTTTCCTGCCTGGCTAGCTTTGAACCAGGCCCTTCAGATCTCAGCTTCCTATCTAGGATAACAATTGTTAGCCATCAGCACCCAGCTATGATCAATTGGTTTTATTATCTATAGGTATTCACCTATATTGAGAAGCCATATCCCCAAGCCCTAAGAAAGTAATACAATACTTATAGGATCCTCACAAACTCCAGGATTCAGAGTAGCTAGCAGAAAGATGGCTGGTGGCATTGCACTTTCTGTTTGTCACATGTTACTGCTGTTACATGCACACCCACCTGATCCTGGGGGTCCATTTTGGTCATCATCCTGTCTTCCAGGAGGTTGAAGGTGAGCACTTGGAGAACATATAATTGGTGGGCCATCTCGTTGTTGATGGCCCGCTGGGCACGGATGACATGCTGCAGGAATACTTTGTTAAAATACTTACCAAAAAAAGAAAGGGCAGACCACAAACTAAACATCATCAACAGGCCCAAGTGGAGGCTGGGCAGTCTGCATCTAGATGCAACCAGGAATGAAGCCTGGTGGCTCACCCTTCAGAAGGAAAGCCAACATACATGTGAGCTCAGAGCTCTCCCTGATGACTCAGAGGCAGGAAAAGATCAACTGTATGCAGAAGAGGAAACAGAGGGTGGGGAGGCTCTTAAAGGAAAGGGTCGGGCCCTGGCTCCCCCAGGTCACAGAGGGGCAAATGGTGTCACCACCATCATAGTCCCCTACCCACGCATCCAACTTCCAAGAACTAAAGCAACCTTGTTCCCACCCTACAGAAGCAAACTCAGTGCAGGAACGCTGCCAAGAAGCCAACACCATCATGGCACAGGGAGCTACCTCTGTCTCAGTGCTTGAATCTCCAGCTCACAACTCAGTGAAAAGTAAACTGCTTTCCCCCAGAAAAACTGGGGCAGCACCATGGTGCTAGGTATTAGAAGTTGTGGAGTTCTGATTCCTTTCCTTGCAAAGCTAAACCGTATGTGTAGAAAACCACCACAGGAAGGCGGGCTCCAGCCCAGAGGCCCAATCATGTCATTTTTACTCCTACAGTAGGTCCACTATGAAGGACGCTTCCTGTGGGACAGAAATGTTGATTCTGACTCCCAGAGCCCACCATCTTCCCTCCTTCCTAGCCCTACCCTTCACCAAACAGTGGAGAACAAAGTGCAGATCAGTCACAGAAGGGACACTAAAGTTGCACCAGGCCCTTCCTCCCCAGTTAGGTACTCACTGTTAGAATGATGGAACGCAGCTGCTTCTGAGCCAAAATATTTGCCATTTCCTGGGGAAGAAAAACACCCCCACACAAAGGCTTTGGTTAGAAAGACAGGCATGCTTTTCCACACAACCAAGTGCCATTCTTCCTGTGTGCTTCAGGGCCTGGATATCAGCAGTATTTCTTAGAAAACTGTGGCCTTGGAAGGCACTAGTATTCCATGATAAGGCTGGATATTCCATTTGGATTATAAAAGCCAAGTACAAAGGCATATATATATATGTATATATATATGAATACATATATATACATATATATATGGAATTTTTTTCCTTCTAGAAAAATTACTCTCCAGAAACTAATGGTTTTCCACTCAAAAAGTATATCAGAGGCTGGGCACCAATGGCTCATACCTGTAATTCTGGCCAGCCAATCAGATGTCTTAGATCTGAGAATCCGGTTCAAAGCCAGCCCCAGGAGACTGGAATTATCTCCAATTAACCAGCAAAAAGAAGAAGTGGGGGTGTGATTCAAGTGGTAAAGAGCTAGCTTTGAGCTGTTGAGTGGGTAGAGGAAGGACCCTGTACCCGCTTTTCTTAGATTGTATGAAGATGACCAGACAACACACACCCACAGCAAGGACATCCTGATGTTGGAGAACCATCATCCTAAAATCCCTAACTCACCTAAAAGCAAGTTCATCTACCTGAGTGCAGAACCAAGGGCAAATGGCATACACCCCAGAGCTGGATCAGCAAGGTATGCAAATGAACCACATGGGGTTTCAGATGGACAAATATCTGGCCAGATGTGATGCTGTGGAATTCTCCCTTGGCTTCTGCATGATATAAGTTGTGCTCCAGCCTCTCCTGTCCTCAGCAGAGTACTTGAGGATGTTTTTATGAAATGAAATGATTCACAGGCCCTCTTTGGAAGGAATAAGGGAGAAATTTCATAGTCAAGCCACAGCCTTGGGACACACTAAGAAAAAGTCAAAATACTGCTCATATGCAGGAAGACACTAGAATGCCAATCTGTGCTGGGGATTTTTTTTTTCGGTGCTACGAGTTGTACTGCATAGAGAAGAAACTAAGCTATAATGAAAAACAACAACTATGATATCTACTAAGGTGCAAATAAATGTACAGAAAGCCAGGGCAGCGAAGAACATGAGGAAAGGAACTTGAGGGGATGCAGGGGGTACAGGCAGGATGGATGAGGGCAGACTGAGACAGCAGGGTCCACAGAGGGAACATGGGTGACTTACAGTCAGAGGACACTCAAGGATGTCAACATTGTTGTCTACATCAACCTAACGGCGCCAATGCCACCACAGAAAGGAGAGCAAGCAAGAGAGAAGAAGGGATGGAAATTCAGAGCTGTTGGCAGCTTTGATGCAATGCCCTGCCAACCCACTGCCTAGGGAGGCCTGTGAACACCTTTTACAGTTATATGGGAACAGAAGACATAGAAATGGAAATCCATGATCAGGTCATCTTCCTGCCCTCAAAAGCAAGAAAGCAAAGGCAACCACATCTTGAGACACAAGCTGAAGGCAAGCCCAGAAAACACCATCGGCCATCTCTACTACATTATTCTTCCCCAGCTAAATACAGTAGCTCTTGGGTGAGGGATGATCTGGCTTGGTTAGGTTTGATTTTTTTTTGGAGCAGGTAACACACAAAAGACCGAAAGGACCTCTATACATATATCTCCAATACTGCTTTTTATAAACATTGTATTCCTTTTGCAAATGAAAAGTGCAGCCCAATAGTCACCAAAAAAAGAAAATAAAAAATATGCTTTGTGTTCCTATTTCATCTATAGGTTAATATGATTTTATAACATTGAAATGATAGAAATGTAGATATAATTACAGATAGACATAGTCAGCCACAAGACAGTCACCAATAGTTAGAATGCTTTTTCCTGTCCAGCATCTACTAGTCATTGACTATCTACTTACAAAAAATATATATACATATATATGCATAAGACTGTGTGTTCTTGGGGGCACAGTGGACTCCATGTGCTTCTTTGTATCCCAAGTTCCAGGCATGATATTCAGCAAACAGAAGATGACAATAAATATTTCATTAAGGAACAAGTGAATATTTGATAGTACTCTCCTAAGAAACAGAAGCTAGAACAGAGAGAAAACAGAGGTATCTTTGTGAACATGAGAGATATCTGTCTTAGGGAACAGTTTGAGTAAACATGAGAGTCCATGGGGAGATTTTCATAGCACTGAAACATATAAATATATAGATAGATACACCAATACGGAATGATGTCTACAACATAGTTTTAATCTTAACAGCAATTTTCTATAAAGACAGTACATGTAGTATGCCGAGTGTTGGTTAAAAATACAAACAAAACTCTGGGCTGGGGGAGTAGCTCTATTGGTAGAAAGTGAACATCGCTGAACAAAAGAACTAGATATCAAGTTCGAGTCCTGGTCTCGGGCCAAAAACAAACAAAACAAAAGACACAAGTAGGCAAATATTTGCATAGAACAAAGCAGGATGACCCACAGCTATGGAAAGTACATGGGTACTACAAAATTGTAGCAAGTCTCTCTTTGGGAAGGTAATGAAAGAAGCTTTCACACTTCTTTCCTTTCGGTCTTTCTTTTTTTTACTTTTTTTTAAACCAACTCTTTTAACTAAAAATATAATTAAATTTTAGGAACCACAAATACAGCCAAATGCCTGTGCTCATGCCTATAATCCAAGCTATTTAGAAGTCTGAAATGTGAGAATCATAGTATAAAATCAGCCTGAGCAGAAAAATCCCATTGACTCTTATCTTTACATAATTGGCAAAATGCTAGAAGTGAAGATATGGCTCAAGTGGCAGAGCTTGGAAAGGCAGGGAAACAAAAACAAAACAATAATAAAACCATGGAAATGTAACTCCTAGAAATGAACCAACAATCCTAAATGGAAAACAAATCAGAATCCCTCACTTTTAATAACTGATATTAAAATCCTTGGAAACATGAAGATAAGATAAATAGGATAAATAAAGTCTGATTCTATGCACAGCATTGAGTAGCAGGTTAGCTTTCTACACTCTTGTGAAAAATTTCCTGGCAGATGCCATGATCTTCCTAGTGAACTCTCCTATGGCAGTGAACTGTGGTCAGGGTAACACATTCTATGTTATACAGGTAGAATTTAAAAAAAAATTAATGGTCTTTGAGGACTAAGCTAAATTCCAAAACATACCAAAACTCTTTATTCTGTTCCTTCCCCCTACTTGAGAAAGAATCAAAGAATTTATAGTCCAAAGAACACCAAAAGTTAGGTTTTTTCTGTGTACCTTTAAGGGATTCTCCCTCCCCTCTATACACAAAGATACAAATGAACGGCTCAGTTCCCCCACCCATGACCCTAAGGGTCAGAAGATCTAGGACCAAGCAAAGAGCACCTCTCATACATGAGCATGGTGATCTCCACCGCAAGCATCATCTTCAGCTGCCCCCTCTCGTTCTCTCGCTTTCCCATCTACTGTTCTCCTGAGCAGGCAGGACACCTCTGAAGAATGGGGACGACACCTCCCTGGCCTTGGTAAATGACTAGATGACAGAAGACCCTGGGGGCTTCCACCTCAGAGGCCATCACATCAGCCAGGCTCCCATCTTTGTGTGCTCTGAGATTTTAGGGAAGGGTTCTTAGGGCCAAACACTCGTTTCAGTCAATGGCTTACCCAAGTCTCTACCTCCTCCCTCCCCTACACCCTGCTTGGTGACATGGCAGGAGCCAGAGCCACAAAGCAGCCCTCCAAGACCCCCAGAGAGGAAGGAGAAGACATCCTCTGCACAAACACTTCCCAACCCTGGACACAAAAACGGAAGCAACACAGCTCACCTGTCTGCGCTCGTCAGGAGCTTTCAGGAAGAGTGCATTGATGACAGCGATGGTATAGGTTTGAATTTCCTGATCGGTTCTACAAAATTAAAACGGCAAAAGAACTCAGATGAGGTGAACCAGCCCAGAGGGAGGCCATAATAAACCTCATCATTACACAGAAACATGGCTCCTCCCACAGGGAGAAGAAAAGGGAGGATCCTCTGTAGACCTGTAGTGAGCACTGAGAGCAGACTTCCAGCACCCCTAAGCTGGAAACAACAGATGCACAACTGCTATGAGTGACCACTCAGTGCTGAGAGCAGTATATGTACAGGGGTGAAACTCCTCTGAACAATTAACCGACAGTTTAATATCAGGAATACAAGGAAGCTAAGTAGAGAGAGGAAGGGTAGGTAAATACAGTCACAATTTTCAATGTACACTTGTGAAGATGGACCCAGAAAACTTAAGGGGATGAGTGGGGCTGGGAGAGATGGAAGAGGTGACACAAACCAAGATGTTGTACGCTCATAAATGGTAGGTTGAGGGCTGGGAAGGTGGCTCAGTGGTAGAGCACTTGCCTTGCATGCATGAGGCCCTGGGTTCGATTCCTCAGCACCACATACGCAAAAAGAAAAAAGCCGGAAGTGGCGCTGTGGCTGAAGTGGTAGAGCACTAGCCTTGAGCTGAAGAGCTGAGGGACAGTGCCCAGGCCCAGAGTTCAGGCCCCACGACTGGACCCAAAAAAATAAAAATAAAAATAAAATAAATAAATTGGCAGGTTGAAATGAAACTCCTTCAAATAACTACAATAAAAGATTCCTAGTAAAGAGTTACAGTGTGGCTCAGTGGTAGACTGTTTAGAAGCATAAAGCCTTAGTTCAGTTCTATCAAAAGGGGGGGAGGGGGAAGACTGCTTGAAAATGTCTAGCATAAAATTTCTAATGAATTCTGAAGGTGTTCATGATATTACAGAAAACATTATACAGTTAGGTCACCCTCGGTTAAGAACTTAGGAGAACAAATTGCTTTATGCCTGAAAAAGAAAAACTCTACTGATAGCCACAAAGACAGGTTAAAAGCCGAAGGTTTTCCCAGGGCAAGGGGCCATGGACAGAGCAATGCCAAGGACAGACAAAGCAGTCCTCAAGGATAAGAAGCCACCTTGCCATGTCAGTGTAAGGGGAGAGAGAGGTGCATGACTCACCATAAACCAAGGCTGCCAGGTGTGGTGACATACTATAATCCTGGCTACTCAGGAGGTAGAGATCAAGAGGACCAAGGTTTGTGGCCAACACAGACAAAAAGTCATCAACTCCTACATCTTAACAAATAAGCTGGGCTTGGTGGTTCATACCTATAACCCCAGCTAGGCAAGAGGCCATAGGAAAGAAGATCACTGTCCAAGATCAGCCTGAGCAAAAATGCAAGACTTTATTGAAAACAAAAACAAAAACAGATAAAGGAAAAATGGGTTGGGGTATGGCTCAAGTGGTACAGTAAATACAACCGAAAAAAAAAAAGGAAAGGGATATTTGTTTGTATATTTAGTAGAATAGTACAAAATAGTTTGCAGGCATCTCTGTGGCTGTCTGTGGGAAGCCCCTCTCCAAAGAGAACAGCTCCCTCCCCAGAGATAACAACCTCTCCCCAGGAGAGCAGCATGCTTACCCTTGAAGATGAGGAATGAGTTGGCCAATGGTGATCTCTTGTGCCACCTTCTGGTAGAGGTCATGGCTATTGAGCACCATGGACTCCAAAATGGCCAAGGACCGCTGCAGGATTGAGATGTCCATAGCCGACTTGTTCACAAAACTTGCTATCTGAAAACCCAAGAAGTACATCATTGGTGGCTCATAGAGTCAACAGGGAAAGGAGGAAAAAAATTAAGCACATCAGGAACTCAGAGAGGATATCAAATTCTAAGGATGGAGTATAATTCAAAGTAGCAAGAAATAGACCCAGTCACCATTGAGATTGGTGAAATCCTACCAAACACAAAGAAACCTTTCTTACAATCACTGATAACTGGACATTTCTTTACTGGGTATCTTCAAAGAATTATTCTGCCTGGTTTCCCCCAGACTATTGTGTTCTGAGTTTCAGCTTTCCAAGGCAGACAATTTTATCATGTACATTACACGGACTGGCGCATTTCTCTGAGGGGATAAATTCAGTGTAAAGCATGGCCATTCCTCTCCCCTCCCCAGGCTGCTCCTTCCTTCATTCATTCATTCCATCCACAACTCTTATGTTCTGATATATTCCTCACATACAAATCACACTCATCAATGCAATTCAAATGGCAAGTTTTCAGCAGCTGGCTATTCCAAATTATAAAGATGAGAAAGTAGAGGAGGGGGAGGAAGTGGAGGAAGAGGGGGAAGAGGAAGAGGAAAAGGAAGATGAGGAGGAAGAGGAGAAAGAGGAGGAGGAGGAGGAGGAGAAAGAAAAGAAGGAAGAAAACCTCTCCTTCTAGGGTTAAAAAAATTATTATCTCTCCCACAGGTAGCAAAAAGAAAACTCTTTAAATTAGCAGTGCTAAAAAATGTAATAGTTCCAAGTTCTCAAATGCATTCCCTAAGGGGAAATCAATCCTTGAATCCCTAACTACAACCAACCACAATATAATAGGAAAGGAAAATAAGAGAAGGGTTACAATAATGGAGCAAGGCAGCCCAGACACGTGGTTACCATAAAGGTTTTATTTTAAACACCTCATTAAGATTTACTACAATCTGTTGACAACCCACACTAAAAAGGCCATTATTGTATCAACATGATAGCTTTCTTAAAAGCTAAAATAATGATTTTGTGACAAGTAACCACTCCCTGAGTCCCACTTAAACACAAATTTATCCCCTTCTGTGGTCCGATCAGGCCCTCCCCTCAGACTCCCTCCTTCCCTAAAGGGGTGAAATGCCAGTGTACACACACCATTCTAGCTACCATCCCATGTCTGCAGTCCACACCCTCCATATGGGAGCCAGAATGGGGGAACAGATCCAAACAGGAGCCTACCTCAGATCTCCACACCCCACCTGCCTCACTTCATTTATACCTCAGTAGGTAAGAAAGAATGAGGTGAAGAAAAACAGGAGTGTGCCTGGTTTCATGTTCCAAAAGGCAATCATTTTACTACAGGAACTGCAGGAAAGGCATGAGGATGTTAACAATCCTTAAACCACTGCTTTGGCTCTTCTCCTGCGAATGTGTTTATTGTCCCAGGCAGGTGTCAGCTCTGCTCCTCACATCTGCTGCAATTTAACAAGCTCTCTACAGGGCCTACCAAGGGAAGCCTACTGACAAAAATCCAATGGCCATCATGCTCTGCCCTGGGTTTTAATGTAAATTACATCTTTTCTAAGAAGAGTGTAAATGCCTGAATCCGCCCCCCCCCCCCCCGCCGCCTCCATTCATTTTCATTGTTCCAATGTAATTCTTTTTTAAAAAATAAATTTTTATGCCTCTACTGGAGCTTGAACTCAAGGTCTGGATGTTATCCTTCACTTTTTACTCAAGGCTGGTGCTCTATCATTTGAGGTACAGCTCCACTTCAGCTTTTTGATGGTTAATTGGAGAGAAGAGTCTCAAAGTCTTTCCTGACAGGACTGGCTTCTCACTGTGACCTCAGATCTCAATCTCCTGAGTAGCTAACATTACAAGTGTGAGCCGCCAGGGCCCAACTTGTTCCAGTATAATTCCTAACTCTGGCATAAGGAAAGTGAAAAACCCACAAGAAAGTTCACTGATCGGAACTTCTTAACTTTCTCTCTACCAAGGGCTCTTCCTCATTGCTCGCTCCCTTCCTGCCTCTGTTTATGGAATTTGGATGTGACAGAAATCCAGGGGTCTCACACGTGAGCACCTGTTGCTAACTTTATCAAGCCCCCACTACCAACTCCCAGCCCTCAGTGATAAGCATTCCTGGTTCCACACAGCAGGTCCTCCAGAGACACCAAGATGAGCAAGACCCACAGGTATTTCATTTAAAGCAGGGACAGATTAAAAAGCACTGACTATGAATTACTCGAAGTAAGCATTCTCAGTATCTAAATGGCTCCATTTGGTTATTCCAACAAGGCCAAAAATTAAATGGCATGAAAAAGTATCATTGTAGTCTTACTCTTCCCTTCCTAACTGCCACACTTTTTCAAGTATCCATACTCATTAAGTGCTTAATATCCCCAGTAACATGAGAATGCATTTGAGATATTTTTCTTTGGGGCACAAATTCAGTGGATGTAGTCGTTGGAATCTTTTCTGTAGAGTGATTGCTGGACACAAGCACCACCATGTTAAGAATAGCTGCTACCAACTCACAAGAAGCTATTTTAACTATGCCACTTCCCTTGTTTTCCTCACAACTTCTGGCTTCAGTCAGGAGTCCTGGTCTCAGTTGATGGCTCAGATAAACTTTTAACCCTTTGCAAACTAATCATTCATTCAAGATTGTGACACTAAGTTCTGACCAAATGAACAAGGATTGTCATACAGTAGAGATAAGACAGCTGCGCAGATATCCCGCCACTTGCTTACTTGGCATCCTGACAGCATCATGACCTTCTGTGGAAGAAAAACCTCGCTGAATTCCTTTTGAGCAGGTGTCCTGATTCCTGTGTGGTACTCTAATATCCTGAGATATTTCCAACGGTACATACACACAACATGGGCCCTCCAGTCCATTGCATCCTTGGGTTCCTAAAACACCATCTTTTCAGTTTCCTCTCTGCTCAACTGTTCACCTCACCAAAAAGAGTTGTGTATGGTGATGTACCCATATGATCCCAGCTACAATGGCTGCATAGGTAGCAGGATCTCACCTTGTGAGCCAAGGTAAGCCCTGGGCAAAAATGGAAGACCTTAGCTGGTTGAGTAGCTAAGTGGTAGAGCGACCTGCCTGGAAAATAGGAGGTCCTGAGTTGAAACCCTAGCACTGCCAAGACAAAGAAAGAACAAAAAAGTGCTAGGCCCTGTCTAAAACACAACGAACAGGGAAAGGGGGACTGGGGACATGGTTCCAGTAGTAATGCGCCTGCCTAGCAAATGTGAGACCCTGAGTTCAAAACCAGTACCACCAACCACAAGAAAAACAAAGTAATTCCGAAATCAAACAGAGAATTACTTAGGTCAGTTTTCAGAAGCTGAGGAAGTAGATCTCAAAATTCTCATACATTATCAAGGCAGAAGAGAACCATGGGGCTGCATGGTTGATTTTAAACCATCTTGCTGAGGTTCATAAATCTCTCCAAGTTTTAGAAGACAAAATACTGAAGCTCAATGGCTAAATGTTGTCTAGGCAGTGAAATCATCTGATCTTCCCAGCAAGCCAGAGCCTCCTCAAAACAAAGGTCTCAGGGGAATACGTAGGAAACTTCCCTTCCAAGAGAAGGTACTAGGGCCATGCTTGGCTAGAGGAAAATCAACTCAGAACACAGGAAGTCTTCTTTCTTTTCTCTTCAGGCCTTCCTTATTCTAAGTAGCCAAGTCATTAAAAAGCAACTCCATAGCAGGGTGCCAGTTGCTCACTCCTACAATCCTAACTATTCAGGAGGCTGAGATTTGAGAATCATAGTTTAGAGCTAGCCCTAGCAGGAAAGTCTGTGAGACTCTTATCTCTACTAAACTACCAGAGAAAGAAAAAGAAAAAGAGAAGAGAAGAGAAGAAAGGAAAAGAAGGGAAGGGAAGGGAAGGGAAGGGAAGGGAAGGGAAGGGAAGGGAAGGGAAGGGAAGGGAAGGGAGAAAGAAAAAGAAAGAAAGAGAGAGAGAAAGAGAGAGAAAGAAAGAGAGAGAGAAAAAAGAAAGAAAGAAAGAAAGGAAGGAAGGAAGGAAGGAAGGAAGGAGGGAGGGAGGGAGGGAGGGAGGGAGGGAGAGAGGGAGAGAGGGAGGGAGGACAGAAAGAAAGAAAGAAAGAAAGAAAGAAAGAAAGAAAGAAAGAAAGAAAGAAAGAAAGAAAGAAAGAAAGAAAGAAAGAAAGAAAGAAAGAAAGAGAGAGAGAGAGAAAGATAGAAAGAAAGAAAGAATGAAAGAAAGAAAGAAAGGAGGGAGGGAGGGAGGGAGGGAGGGAGGGAGGAAGGAAGGAAGGAAAGAAAGGAGGGAAAGGGAGGAAGGGAGGGAAGGAGGGAGGGAGGGAGGGAGGCAGGCAGGCAGGCAGGCAGGCAGGCGGGCTGGCTGGCTGGCTGGCTGGCTGGCTGGAAGTGGAGCTGTGGCTCAAGTGGTAGAATGCTAGCCTTGAGGGAAAAAAAACCTCAGGGACAGAGCCCAGGCTCTGAATTTAGGCCCCAGGACTAGCACAGAAAACAACAACAACAAAACAAAACAAAACAAAAAAACACTACAATATACTAGCATCAAGGGCTTCCATGTTCCATGGCATTTAGGAAATGGTGTTAGTTCTTGCAGCTACAATTTGTAAACTCAAATCCAAATGCACACATAACAAAGAGAACAGACATGGAGAGAGGGCTGGCAAGGAGAACAATATTTCTCCAAAGTACTCTGAACTTGGCATTGATCAGAAGCCAACTCAAGATCACAGAGAGAAGCACCTTTTGTCAGTGCTTTTCCTAATTATTTTTGTCGAGATAAAGCTCCATTTAAAACATAGAGGCCAGCACAAATCTGGGGCTGTCAGGATGCTGAATACGGTCCAGCTAATGAATAAAAAGTGAACCTTACCCAAAAACTGTAAGTAATTTTCTAGTGACTAATTTTCAAAGTCATATAAGAGACTTTTTTTGTAAGTGGCAAGGCAAAGGAAATGAGGAAACAGGAACAAGTTGCTTTTAAAAAATATATCCAATTTTTAAATTTAGTTTGCTTCCTGAGAATTAAAGTGGGTTTCTGAAAATTTCACTTCAGTAAAGACAAACCATTTTCATTAGAAAATGGAGCAGCTGCCATGCTCTCCCATCATTTGAAGAAACCCAGCTCTCAAGTGAAGTTTTTGACTTGACACATTCCCATCTCTGCCCATTCTTCTACCTGATTCCTTTGGAAAGAAGAGCCAGTCAAAAACGCCCCTCAGTAGTTGAATGGATCAAGAAAATGTGGTATATATACACAATGGAATTCTATCCCTCCATCAGAAAGAATGACATCGCCCCATTTGTTAGGGAAAGACTTGGAAAAAATTATATTAAGAAGTAAGCCAGCCCCAAAGAAACATAGGTCCCAAGGTTTCCCTTATTTGCAATAACTAGCATATGTCTGGGACAAGCAGAAAAGGTCAGAAAAGATGATGTTAAGCAAAATGAACCCAAAGATAGGGACACAAGTGGTTTTTTTCTTCCTTGCTAGTGTTTCTAACGTATTTATAAGGTACCATATGATTTTTTTTTTGTTGCTTTGTATGTCCCTCCCCCACGGTCTAACTTCTGTTTTCACTGTATTTGGTGTTGGTATAATTTGGGGAGGGAAGGGGAAAAAACAAATTGTTTAAATAGGGATACAGCTTGACCCCTTGCAACAATGAGATGTACAAGACGCTATGTCGAAAAACAAACTACAATTTACGCTGAGGAGGTGGGAGGGAAGGGATGGTAGGGGAAAAACAAAGGAGGAGGCAACAATGCTGGATAAGAAATGTACTCATTACCTTGCTCATGTAACTATAACCCCTTTGTACAGTATTTTCACAATAAAAAAAAAAACTGTAAAAAAAAAAAAAATAAAGAAAACTTGCCAGTCTGGCACAGACGTGAAGTGCCTTACATTCTTTCTGACGTCAATGTATACTCAAGAAAAATGCTAATTGTTATCATTAGGAATAAAGTTTATCTTAAATGAGGGGGGAAAACAAGTGGTTGACACCTGAAATCTTTCTTACACCAAGGCCATGAGTCAGCAGGAAGGACCCTACCTAAGACACCTGAACCAGACCCTCAGCCTCCTCAGTTCCTCATTAAGCCCATGAGTGCTGGACATCAGCTTCCTTTGCCTCTTTCCCTGTCGCTGAGCATGGGGTTGGGGATGGATAGTGAAGATGGCAGCTCGGCCAAGTTCTTGAGTTCTGAAGCCATGCGTAGCGCATCCGAAGACACTGTGTCCTTAGCAACAACACAGTTTCCCTTAACTCTGGGTTCTCATCCACACAACATTTTATGTTCTCTGCAGGGACAAAAGGTCACTTTCACCCAGAATGTTCAGAGCCCCACATTTATAGGCCTAGTTAAAACATACTCATGCACACACTCACCCCTATCTTTTAACATAACCCAAGGAAACAATGATAAAATAATCCTCAAAGCAGAGAATGGTACCTGTGAAAGGAGGGGGTGATGGGAGCCTAGGAAAGCAGTTTGCATTTACCTTCTTAATGAACGCCACCGAAAACGTGTCCCAAGACACGATGCCATGATCCATGAGCTCTACGAAGGCCGTCAACGTGAAGGACAGCATGTCCCCAAAGCTGTAAAACATGGGGGCGGGGGAACACAGAGTCGATGCTGGGCAGTGGGGAAAGTGCACAAGTGAGCCAGCTTTAGGAAGCAGACCTAGACCGCTGGACAAGCAGCTGGGCAGTCAGACCCACTCCACTGGACAGCAGCTGGGCAGAGTCAACAGCTCAAGTGCCAGGCTGGCAACAAACAGGACAGGAAGGGACAGGTGCTTGCCGCCAGCCAGGGAGCTGAGAAACACGGAGCAATTCACTTGCCGTCTCTGAGCCTCTGTGCTCTCAGCTAGGAAGTAAATAATGGCAAGTCTTTAGGTAGCACACTCAATAAAGTTGGTAGCATATCAGTATTCAGTAAGGAGCATCTCAGTCAGTGAAAGTTCCTAAATGCTCCCTTTATAAGCCAGAAGAATCAAGAGGGATAATCCAAAATGACTCAATTAGCATAACAGCCCTTAGGTAAGGATTCAGAGCCTCTGTATATAACTTTAACAAAAATGGCTAAGCATGATAAATAAGCATATTCACCTTGATGTTACAATGGCCAGCATCCTGTCCTGAGTTAATGGGTTTCAGGGACTATCTATGATGATTATATTATGATTCCATATACTGGGTTTGCTCATCCCATCATTCATTAGGGGGTCTGATATGTGGTTTATAGATTCAGAGCAATTAGGGGATGCTATGGTCTGTGTAAATCACAAAGTCCTGTGTGTTCAAGGTGCAGCTCTGGTGAGAGGCAATGGAAACTGTAGGAGGTGGGGCCTAGTAGGAAATCTTTAGGTCACTGGGGGTGCGTCCTTGCATAGGTCTTAGAATCACTCTTTTTATCTTTCTGGCCATGGAGTAAGGGCTTTCAGTCCATCATAATGAGCTGCCTCACACAAAGCAACAGGGCCAGCCCATCATAGGCTAACACCTCTAAAATGTGAGCCACAATAAATCACCTCTGGTGGTAAGTTAACCTAGTCATGTACTGACTATAGTAATGGAAAGTTGCCTATGACCAGAGGGTGGGGAGGCAGGGGAGGGGATGTTGAGGAGGAAGAAGAGCCATCTTTGTAAAATACTTTCCTCAGAGGTTCATCCTAGGTTCTTACAATTTCAAAAACATTCTTAGTCATTTATACATCTCAGAAATTTTCACTCTTATCATAAATTTTCATCATCATCATCATCATCATCGTCATCTATAGTAACTCCAAACTATCAAGAATCTCTCTACCAGCAGATAGAATTATAGGATTTCTATACTACATTATACAATAATACAGATTCCTACACTCAGTTTTTTTTGTTGTTGTTGGTCATGGGGCTTTAACTCTGGGCTTGGGCGCTGTCCCTCAGCTCTTCAGCTCAAGGCGAGCGCTCTACCACTTGAGCTACAGCGCCACTTCTGATTTTCTAGTGGTTTATTGGAGATAGGAGTCTCGTGGTCTTTCCTGCCCTGGCTGGCTTTGAACTGCAATCCTCAGATCTCAGCCTCCTGAGTAGCTAGGATTACAAGCATGAGCCACCGGCGCCCAGCAGTTACTTTTTTTAAAATGAAGCTGGACATTGTAATTTTTTTTTTGGGGGGGGTCTGGTCATGGGGCCTGAACCCTGGGCCTGGGCACTGTCCCTCAGCTCTACAGCTCAAGGTTAGCACTCTACCACTTGAGCCACAGTGCCACTTTCAGCTTTTTTCTTTTTGCTTATGTGGTAATGAGGAATCGAACACAGGGCCTCGGGCATGCAAGGCAAGCGCTGTACCACTGAGCCACCTTCCCAGCCCAGTCATTACAATTTTTAATCTAGAGGATCAGACATCCCATTATTGCTATATCACAAAGTCTGCTAACAGATTCAGATTTGGATTTAGGTTTGTATTTCTTTTAAAAAAATAGCTTCACAGTATTCCTTCCTGCTATTCTTCTACTCAACCCAGTCTCAAAATAAAATGATTTTTGAAATTCTGCTCTATTTCAAAGGTCGTGATACTGGCAGAAGCCCATCCAAGGGGAGATGACTCTCAGAGGAGGACCGTGATTCAGAGACCAGAGGGGAGGATACACACTGGACAGACATGGCTATGTGGTGATCTCTGGAGCCACACATAGGGGCCCCCACATCAAGCTCTAAGTGAATTCTCCAACACTACAGTCTCCCCATTCATGAGGATGATGATCATGGTGGTGAGGACAATAGTGATCTTCATTCAGAGAGAAGAAGACTGGAGAAAAAAATGAGCTAGCCTAGTCCTGGGATCAGGAACAGTATGTGGCAAGTGCTAAGTTAACAGCCATGTGCCTACCTGGGACCGCGGCATAACAGTAGCATTGTGGATGCAGGAAGCTCCTGGTTTTCAAACGTTTTGCCGTTAATGTGGAAAAAGTTGAGAGGGAGAAAACATACAAGGGAGAAAAGTACATGGAGAAGCCAGATAGAAAAACCAGATGGAAAAGCAGCCTATGTCTCTGGCTTCCTGCACACAGGCAGTCCCAATCGCACAGGGGGCCCTAGGTGGCACCAGAGGCCAGGCCTCAAAGACAAGCTCTCAACAGGAAACTAAAATGACGGAGAGAACAAATAACTAGACAGCAAGGTGGATGACGACTCAAAACAGTAGCAAGACAGGTTAAATAAAAGTTCCAGGATAATCCACTCTACAAAGGATGAGTTATTAGAGAACAAGTATTAGAGTGCAAAAATAACAGAAACTGCCTTAGGAAAAATAAGATAAATGCAATTAGTAAGATGCATGAATAGAAACTGGGCAGGAGTCAGGAAAAATAAGATAAATGCAATTAGTAAGATGTATGAATAGAAACTGGGCAGGAGTCAGTATTACAGTACTGTGAAAACATTATTACATAATAATGTATTAGTAGCAATAAATACTTTGTTAACTTATGCACGAAGAGAAAAACAATCACATAATAATGAATAGTTGGCATTTGCTCAAATCTGACTTATAGATTCGAAATGCTACAGGTTCTTCACATACCTGCCACAGACTCCACTCAGACCAAGATCTTTGCCTTGGTGTCAGCGGTTAAAGACAGCAGTTAGAGAACCAGGAGAGAACAGAAAGAAAAGGAATGAGCCCACAACTGGGCTCAAGCTGGTCTTCTGTTTTGTTTCATTGACAGCACTGGGGTTTGAGCACAGGGCTTTGCACTCATTCAGCTGGCGCTCCACCATTTGAGCCACATACCTAGCCCTTTATGCTATAGTCATGTTTCAAACAGGGTCTCACATTTATGCCCAGGCTGGCTTGGATGACAAACTTTCTGTTCATGTTTCCCATTGTACCTGGGATGACATCACCATACCCAGGTTTTCATTGGCTAAAAAGGAGTACAGAGAACTTTTTGACCACAGGAGCCCCCAAAAATCACAATCCTCCCGATTTCATCCTCTTGAGTAGCTCTGATTACAGACATGAGCTACTGTGCCTGGCTCAAATGCTTCTTGACATTCCCAGTTAGCCACCTGGCCTGGGAATACAAATAAACTTGTGTCCAGATATTAGTCTTCCGTAGCTACTTTAAGAGCAAATGTCTTCCCTCTAATTATCTGAAAGCAAATGTCTCTACTTCTTACCTACCTGCTCAATGAAAGGCTAATCTAAATGGCCAGAAGGAGCCCATCTGAGGACAATCAATCTGCCCTAAAGAAATCCAGTTTGTCTATAGACTCTCCAGGCAGGCTTTAAGGACCTTTGGGGGTAGGATGGAAAGTAGGAAGAACGTCATGTGTTTTCCAGATCTCCAAGTGGTGTTAGGGATCAGGATACCCACTCTATGGCTATCAAGGAAGTGAAACACTGTTTCAGAGATGGCAGGTAAGGCTCTCCATACTTATAGTGGTCCATTTCTGTGAGTGATTGACAAGTGGGAGAAAGGGTGTTTCATGTCACTCACCCACTGAGGAGGTCACAGGAAGTGACCTGGTCCACGCAGTTAACATGAGAGATAGACAGACGGGACATATTGACGATAGAAGACAGAGACAGAGAAAGAATTGATCCAAGATAGAAATGATAGAAAATAGATTTGTAGATGATAAAGGAGAGAAGTTACATAGATACGTAGATGATAGGTATACATAAATGATAACTAGAATTATATGACCTCCTATAAAATACATACATATGCATATAGGACACAAAATACATTCAACATAAAAATATGTAAAATGTTCATATACTACATAATAAAATGCATAATACACATATGTGTGATAGAACATTATATAATACACTGTATGTAGTTCTCTATATTAAACATCTATTTCCCTGGAATAAGTTATGTTTTTCCTGAGGAAGAGCTTTTCAGACTTCAACTTCAAACCTTCAGCAACAAGAAAAGGATGGCATGTTCAAATATGGTTACATTTCAAAAGAAAGGCCCTTTTTCAAATAAGGTGGCTGGAAGAGCTGTCCTGGAACCCTCACATCGGGGTATCCATCTCCACTTCCAGAGAGGAGAGATTCAGACTCCCAGGAGAGAAGGCAGAAGCCAGCTTCCCACCTCCACACTCCATCTGTATAGGACACCATGCTTGGAAAGCACTATAAAAGAAAAGCAAGCGCTTGGCACATTCTGGAACATTTTTATTTACTGGGTTTATTTGTTTTTATTATGTGCTAGGCTAAAGACTTTTACAGTAGTGACTGCCACAAAGGGAAGCGTCTGCAAACTACATACCGGGCCACCGTCTCTGTCACAGCCAGCCGCACACCATGTGTGCTGCAATGACTCAATGAAATGTTTCTCAACTTACTAGGGATCATCTTCCTTCCAGAAAAATCCAGCCAGTCTCAAAACAAGCATCTAAATTTATGCTGCCAACTTTTTCAGAGCAGACTGCATCCCAATGTTTCCATGGAATGATGTACCCAATACAGACTAGAGAAAAGAAAGGAAAGGCAACTTTTAAAGCTATCCTACAGGCTCATGCCTGTAATCCTAGCTACTCACTAAGCTGAGATATGAGGATCATGGTTCAAAGCCAGCCCTGGCAGACAAATCTATGAGACTTTTATCCCCAATTAACAAGTAAAAAGCTAGAAATGAAGGTGTGCCGCAAGCGGTGACGTACTAGCTATGAGCAAGGAAGCTAAGCAACAGCATAAGGTCCTAAGTTCAAACTCAAGTAGCAACACAAAAGAAGGAGGAAGAGCAGATGGAAGAGGAGAATTATCAGGAGTGGAATCAGCACACAAGTGATCTAGAACAAATATTTTTCAATCTATGTATCAGTCTCAAATACTTTTTAGATGTAGTGCTTTTCCTTCTTTCTGAGTCATGATGAAAACCAAAGCCTTCAATCTCTGAACATCACATAAGCCACAAAAGAAGAAAGCTCGGCTTAAAGTCATATACAAAACTCTACCCAGAAGTGCTATAGGGGAAGGGAAGAGGGAGGAAGGCCTGTGTAATCATTTAGTGGTAACCAACAATAAATACTCTCTGCCACAAGGGAAAAAAAAACAAACAAACAAGGAAGTAGATTCATTTTTTTAAAAAACTGTTTACAAGAACATCGAACAAAAAGGAAAAAAGTAACTTACTCAAAATATGTAGATGCATAGTTATAAAGTAAGCCAGAGGACAGGTTTTAATTATGCAGACAGGAAAAAAGGAAATATTAAGATTATAAAATAATTTGATCATATATTCTTACCAAGGCTTCATAATCTTCTGCAATTTCTGGTATCGTCTGTAAAATTTAAAAACAACCATGAGGAACATGTTTAAAAGCAGTGATAGTCAATTCATACAAACAATGTATCTGGAAGAAAACTCAGGATTAGAACCAGGAGGGCCAAACTGCTCCTCAGCCACTCAGTGCATTTCAATACATCATTCAAAGGGATAAATGGGCATTAAATCATGATAGGAAGCAACAAAAACACAAGGAACAAACTAATTACTTACACCAGCCATCACATTTACTTACAAGTAGCTCTATTTGAACCAATATGGGTCCATGGTTGATGAGGAGAAACCCCCATGGGTAATAAGAAGTCCAAAGGAACAGGACTTAAAACAATGACTGAGTAGCTTTCTCTTGTAATATGCCAGCTGACTGTGTTGGTCTTGTAAGAGAAGGCCCTGCAGTTTGCTAAAATACCTGTTGTACTTATGTGCCACAAATAGGACATAGTGGAAGAGAAATAATCTGAACCCACAGGTACTAGTGAAAGTCTAGCCAAAGATATAATATGGGTCCAGTTATGAGAAAATGATACAAACCAGTAGGAAGATGTGTATGTTTCAATGGCAAAACTGCAGTATCTGTAACATACCCTCCTGGGTCATCAGATTCTAGTCCCACTGTCTTTGAGCTGTTTTACAATGTATAGGTAGGTAGATGGCAGGCAGGCAGGCAGGCAAGCAGACAGAAGATGGAAGGGAGGAAGGGAGGAAGGGGGAAAGGAAGGGAGGGAGGGAGGGAGGAAGGAAGGAAGGAAGGAAGGAAGGAAGGAAGGAAGGAAGGAAGGAAGGAAGGAAGGAAGGAAGGAAGGAAGGAAGGAAGGGAGGGAATTAAAAGAATGGATGGTGGATGGATGAACAGATGGATGGGCAAATAAATGATGGATAGGCAATGGAAAGAAGGAAAGGAAGGAAAGGAAGGAAGGAAGGAAGGAAGGAAGGAAGGAAGGAAGGAAGGAAGGAAGGAAGGAAGGAAGGAAGGAAGGAAGGAATCAATCCCTGGCTCCATCCATCCCCTCTAAAAGTGATTTAATTGGCTTCTGCCTGATGATAGAAAACCAGTTTGGCCTCCAATTGTAATTCACCTCCATCTTCTTTCCTCCATATATAACTTGTAGTCTTTTGATTTTTTTCTTCAAATGATTATAACTTCTGCTTAGTTCTCTCATTTCAAATAGCTAAATTCTTTTAACACATGTTCATATGTGTATCTGTATTTTCTCTGGAAATAATCTTTAACAAATTATCTTTTAATAAACCCAGTTGAAAGATGGTCTACTTGCCCGGCACCAATGGCTCATGCCTATAATCCTAGATACTCAGGAGGCTGAGATATGAGGAATATGGGCCAAAGCCACTCAGAAATGGCACTGTGGCTAAAGTGGAAAAGAGCTAGCCTTGAACAAAAAATTAAATAAAGTTCAAGGATAGCATCCAGGCCCTGAGTTCAAACCCCACAATTGTCACCAAATAGACAGACAGACAGACAGACAGACAAATAATCTACTAAACTGCTAACTTAGGGTCTTAAAAATATGTCCAAGTCATCCAAGAAAGAAACAACTATGAAAGCGTTTCAGACCGGGAGACTGAACTATTGGGGGGAGTTAGACCATAAGATGCACCCAGGACAACTTGTACAACTTGAGTGGGGACTAGAGGCATGCCTCAAGTGGTAGAACACCAGCCTGTGAGTGAAAACTTGAGTGGAATCTGCAGGTGAAAGACACCTTGCGATTCCCCACTCTGTTCCTGTGAATTTTCCTTAGGTTTGAAACTTCCGTTCCCACACATAATATCAAGCCAGGATTGCAAAGATATGCTCTGGCTTGAGACCAGAGCATGCATGGGGTTCTATGTGTTCATGTCCTCTGGAGACCAGTGCAGAGAGCAAACCACCTGACTGTGGGCAGGCAAGCCTAGGGAAAGAACGCTGAAACCAACACCCTCTCTAGTCATGCCCCACTCCTACCTCTTTCCAAGCCCCTACTATGGCAGTTTAATCTTGAGGGTGATTAGTGCTCAGTTGATAGCTGGGATTTTTCCCTAGTGGTAGGGAAACCTTCGGCCAGTTCCAACCAAGATGAAGCCACCTGCACAGCAGATCCTTGTGCATCCTTACCCTGACCTTTGCCCAACAAACGCCTATGCAGGGCTTCTTGTACATGCCCTGCATCTTAGACATGTGCTTAAAACTACGGGATGACAGCTGTGTGCATGCGCAGATCCCATCGACCAGTGTGGTGAGTCACTGTTGCTCATTTCCCTAAGATCAGCCCACTGTACATACAGAGAACTCCCGGACACTCTCCAAATCCTGGAAAGCTAAGCACATGTTTCCTCTTAAAGGAGCACAGAATACAAGCCTGCTTGCTATTTCCCTCAATGCTGTGTTTTCTGTATTACATTTTTCCTTGCTCTGCAACTTTTACTTATGTGTGTTTGTGTGCACCGCACACATGTGGGCATGTCCATGCAACATGTGTCATTCAATTCTTTGTTTTAGACACCAAGAATCACTCCGGGATTTTCACCTCTCCCCCTCCCCCAATAACATGTTTTCCCACATTCCCAAAAGCTACATGCTTGCTGTGACTTCAGAAAAAGTTCTGTTGTGGCATGTGTTCCCCTAAATAAAACCCTTTCTGTTCCCTCTCCCTCTCTCTGTCTCTTTCCAAGTACAGTTTATGTTTTTAAGAAAACAAAGAAATGTGAGCAGAAAATCTGCAGCTGGTAGAAAGGCTAAGGTTTCCCAGAGGTCAAAAATGTCTTGCTCCAGCCTGAGGAATGAATGCCACTGTTCCTCTTTCAACAGCAAAGGTTAGCCAGGGAGGGATTGCCCTATAAAGGGATTTTCTGGGGACTTCGACAAAGCCTGCCTAGGCTGGCCTCTTGGGCCTTTGTGATGGAAATTCCTGGCTGGGCCCCAGAGAGGCAGAGAGGGGCAACTCCAATCAGGACTACCCCATGCTTTACCCCTAGCATACTAGCACCCCAGCAGAGGGAGCTAGAAAGATGCTGCAACCTCACAGCTAGGGCAGAACACAGGACCACAGAAGCATCTTCTGGCTCAGTCTGGGGTTTGCTGGCGCTGGTCATGGCCTCTTTAAGAAATGCAACACCTGCCTGGTGAGTCAGGCTTTGCTGCTAAATAGTAGACAGAGCCACTTAACCCATCCTGGACCTCCCAGAACAGATGCATCCTCTGAGAAACAGTGATTTCCATGAAAACTGACAGTGGCTTGCAAAAAAGTGCCAACCAAAGCCAAGCCTACTGTCACACACATCTTGGGGTTCTCTCCCCCTCTCCATACCCCCCACCCCCCATCCCTCCCCCCTGTGCCAGGCCTAATTCAGGGTCAGAGATAAAATTTGATACTCAAAGAATATACACTTGGCTCCAATCTCATTCTCAAAGGTAAGGGCCAAGACACTTCAGGGCACACCAAGGTTCAATGCATGGGAATGAAGGTAGTTTTCACACATGTCTTTCACCTGGTGTGAAAGACAACTGGAATAATAAAAGTTTAATCTGAGACTCTTTTTAAAAATCAATATCAATAGAAATAAGCACTCGAAATAAGCACTAATATATACTGTCTTGTATTCTTTATATGTGTGTGGATGTGGTGTGTGTGTGTGTGTGTGTGTGTGTGTGTGTGTGTGTGTGTGTGTGTGTGTGTGTGTGTGTGTGTGTGTGTGTGTGTGTGTGTGTGTGTGTGTCTTAGGACTTGAACTCAGGGCCTGTACCATCCCTGAGCTTTTGTGCCCAGGGCTAGTTTTCTACCACTTGAGTCTCAGCTCCACTTCCAACTTTTTGATGGTAAACTGGAGATAAGTCTTATAGACTTTCCTGCCCAGGCTGGCTTTGAACTATGATCCTCAGATCCCAACCTCCTGAGTTACTAAGATTACAGGCATGTGCCACTCGCACCTGCCTAGCTTAATGTTTTTTGGTTTGTTTTTTAAGTTTTAAAATGTATATCCTTCTGAGTAAGCAATCCATTTTTCAAAATAATTCTACTAGTCACTAGGTTTTAGTTAAAACAGATTAGCGGGCTGGGAATGTGGCTCAGTGGTAGAGTGCTTGCCTAGCATGCATGAAGCCCTGGGCTCAATTCCTCAGTACCACATATACAGAAAAGGCTGGAAGTGGTAATGTGGCTTAAGGGGTAGAGTATTAGCCTTGAGCAAAAGAAGTTCAGGGACAGTGCCCAGGCCCCAATCCAAGCCCCATGACTGACAAAAAAAAAAAAAAAAAAGATAGTTATGGTACTGAAAAAGCAGATTAGAAAATATTTCAAAAAATAACAATATAAAATGTCCTATATTAAGGTAATGGCTAATTACAGTGTCTATATCCTTCAAATTTTTATACTGTAAATCCCTTGTATGTCAGTAAAGCTGTAAAGATACATAGCTGTGATCATATACAGGTGCAGTCACACACAGCTGTAAACCATCCACAGGTAATAAAAACAATGGAAGGAATATTTAATCACATAGAACTTTTGGTAGGTACAAAAAAATCAAGTTATAAAGGGAATGAAATTACAATTCTACTTTTGTACATCTTGTGTACATTTAAAGTCGTATAAAATTGGGTGCTCATAGCTATAATCCTAGCTACTCAAGAGGATGATAGTTGATGATCTCGGTTCCAAGTGGAGGTGTGACTTCAGTAACTAGAAAATGTTAGCCTTAGCCAAAAAGAAAAAAAAATCCAAGCCAGAGCACAAGGCCCTGAGTTTAAGCCCCATTATCAATACAAAAGTAAAATAAAATAGAAAATACACACACACAAACACACTCACACATACACACACACACACACACACACACACACACACACACACACACACACACACACACACACACACACACACACGACCTTACAGGTGGCTGTGGGGAGAGCACAGATGACAGAGAATTCCTGTGTTTGATGCTTCCTGTCTGTTTTCCTGAAGGAATGATGGTTTCTTTAAAAGGACTGTGAGCTCTTTG